TTGAGATGCTACAGGTGGTAGCATCTAAAAAAAGTCCGTGACTTTTAGCATTAATTAGTCCCAACAGCTTCCGTACCAAACAGAACTAAACCAAACAGTCAGCTTTTTCGCAAACAGTTACTACCTTTTACTTTTAAGATCTTTTCAGTCACTAAAAGCTAACAGTTACTAAACAGTCTGTAAAAGTGTCTTTTTAGCTAGTTGTGCCAAACATACCCTATAAACTATGACCTAGTTAGTTTGTTCAATTTATTACACCTCTAAATTATATGTCTCCAAAGTTATACTTTTAAAAATTGCATCTTCATACTCCTATATGATTTGGTTAGTGAACATATCAACACACATTATCGGTAAAGTTTTGTATGGACCCGGGCCGGTTCGGGCCCGGTTCGGGCCTAGGCCCGGCCGGGCCTCGGGTCTGTTTTGTTGGGCCCGAGCCCGAACCGGTGGCCACCGGTTCCGGGTCCGGTTCCGGGCCGGACCGGGCCGGGCCGGGCGGGCCACCCGGTTTAATTTTTTTTTTTTTTCCTTTCTCCCCCCACCCCCCCCACCCCCCACCCCCCCCAAACCCCCCCAAACCGGCCTAAACAGATAGCCCAAGCCCAACAGCCTAAAACAAATGAAAAAAATTAAAAAAAATATATATTTGGCCCGGACCCGGGCCCGAACCGGCCGGGCCGGGCCGTCAAAACCTTGAACCGAGCCCGGAACCGCCCCACCCCCGGGCCTCCGGCCCGAACCGGACCCGGACCCGGATAACCGGGCCGGGTCGGGCCCGCACAGTAGCGGGTCGGGCCGGTCCCGGGCCGGGCGGCCCGAACCGAGGCCATGCCTAGGTAAAGTTAGTTAACTTTACCGATCTTCTAGCCTTCTCTCCTCGAATCACAAAGAGTCTTGGAAGATGGTAACATTCTCTGGGTAGTGAAGGATTGAACCAAAGATTTTTATATATGCTTTCGATCCTTTTTACTCCCTCTGTGACACCGCACCCGAACGTCCTTGAAAATTCAATTTAAAATTCAAGTTATGTATTGAATTTCCGGTTACCAAACAATTGTAAAACGATTTATGTTTTACGTAGTGCATGATTGAATATTGTATTATTCAGACTCATATATTAGTGTCGGGTTTTGCAAATACTTATTTGGGTCTTATTAATGAACATAGGAGCCCAACATTACCTAAATAATGTTACTTAACTTTTCAAGACAAGTTGAGGAAGGTCGGGCGGCCCAGACATTATTTTGGGCTCAACCTGCTAAAAATAGCGAGTATTCGATAATGGCGTCCTAGGCCCACTCGAGGGTGACCCACACGACTATTAGTCCAATAATATGAATGACAAATGTCAAGATAAGTGATAGAATGACTAGGGAAGAATACAAATGCCTATGGTCCCATCTTTGACATTATTGAGCTAAATAATGGGAGTAGAATCTTTCCAGAAATCTTACCGTTTTATCAGTAAGTTAAATTTGTATATATATTTGTAATATATATACAATTATATCAGATAGTTGATTTATAATATTTTCATGTTTGACATCATGGTGAATTTCGAGCGGAGCTCTCAGCATTCCCTGATAATGAATTAAATTGATGCAATGGTGGACTCTGATTTTGTACTGTGGTACAAGTATCAGGTATATATATACACACATTAATTATATATATTATTAAGTAATACTCCCTCCGTCCCGCTATGATTGTCCCATTTTACCTTTTTGGTCCGTCCCACTAAGATTGTCTCATACTTTATTGAGATATTACCCGAAATAGGACTAAAAAGGTTTGAAAATTCCAAAATAGGACTGCCATATTTTTATTCCCAAAATAGGACTAATTACTGTCATGTTTTGGCAGTACCAGACTTCAAACATGGCAGTATTTTCCAAACATGACAGTAATTACTCCTATTTTGGGAATAAAAAACTTGGCAGTCCTATTTTGGAATTTTCAAACTGTTTTAGTCCTATTTCGGGAACTTTCCCTACTTTATTTGGTAAAGTTTGTGTGGTTCTAAATCATTCATACTTTATTCTTACTTTATCAATTCAATATCAACAACATAAAACCACTTTTATTAATAACCGTGTCACCTTCTCTTGTCCCGAACTTAGGGGGATGGAGGTAGTAATATCTACTTTTGAGGATTTGGTCCGTCTTCTTCGTTGGTCTAGAGTTTTGTCGGCTTCGGATGATCGTGTGGTATGTCAATTTCCTAGTAATGTCTAGAGGTTGTGTGTTTCCCCTCGGTGTAATCGATATCTTGAATTTTCGTTGTTCATGATTGTCAAAGCTTTTTCAACCTTTTTGTTATGAGGCTCCAATTACTCACCCTCCACCTAAACCACCGCCTCATCTGGGAAAAACAAAATGTCCAACTGGATCTCCTTTTCAATGGTTGGTCAAAGTGATAATTCAGAAAAATTCTAATTGGCTAAGTTCTTTTTTGGTTGATGGTCAAATCAATTCTCCCTTTCTGGTGGCTGGTGAAGCCAGGATTATTGATTTAGTTTGTAATCTTTTTAGTTAGGACAATTTATTTTCTTACAATTGCCTTTTATGTAGTGGGATTAGCGAATCTGTTTGGTCCTTGAATTGGAGGCCATCCGATTCTATGTCTCATCACAATGTAGTCCCGAACTATTTTATTATTTTATCTCTTGTTAGTTTTATATTACTAAATACGTTTTGTTTTTGGCAAAAAGAAAGAAAGAAAGAATTGATCTGCTCATTTTATCAATCATATTTCCTGTAATATAATAAAGAATCTAGACACCTAAATTTGACTCTTTTTAGCAACATGCAAAAAATAGAACTAAATCAAAGCTGATTTACCCACTATGTTTCTTATTCTGCATTTCTACCCGGCCTATAACATGAAATGGCTTGTTCTAAACATAAACTGTGAAGTTGTGACTTGTGAATAGTGATAATGGTGGTATATTATTAATTACTTTGGCAACAGAAAAAAATTAATTACTTTGGCAACAGAAAAAAAATGGGATAAGGGTCAGATAAGGCCTCGAACTCGAAAAAAAATGTCAAATAAGGTCATATTTCGGATGCTCTGTCTGGCCGACGCCATTCGGGGTGGTTCCCGATGGAATTTTTTGATGAAAATTTTTGAGCATCTTCCTCATTAAGTCTAGTTTACCCATACCAAATTTAAGCTAAAAATTCAACCGGGAAGGTAGTCAAATGAGTTTTTGAAGATAACTGTGAAGTTAAACAACGCCGTACATTTCGGAAAATTATTTGACTACCTTCCCGGTTGAATTTTTAACTGAAATTTGGTATGGATAAACTAGACTTAATGAGGAAGATGCTCAAAAAATTTCATCAAAAAATTCCATCGGGAATCGCCCCAAATGGCGTCGGCCAGACAGAGCATCCGAAATATGACCTTATTTGACATTTTTTTTCGAGTTCGAGGCCCTATCTGACCCTTATCTCAAAAAAAATTAATTACTTTGGCAAAACTTCATAGTATTCATTTTTAAAAATGAATATATCCACTTTTTCATTTTTAAACTTTTTTAAACTTCCATAAATCATACTAATAAGAGGAAAGTGTCAAATAAGTCCATGTACTTTTAACAAAAAGTCAATTAAGTACACCTACTTTTTTTCGAGTCAATCAAGTCCATGTACTATAAAAAAATGATCAAATTGACTTTTTAACCGGTATTCAACCGGTTATCCGGTTAAATGCCATGTGGATGTCCGAAGCAGCATTATTTTATTGTTTTCCATTTTTTTCTCTCTTCTTTTACCTTTTCTTTTTTCCTTTCTCTTTTCCATTTCTTTTCTTCTCTTCTCTTTCTTCTCTTTTCCGGACCTCTCTTCTTTCCCTATCCTAAAATCCCCTTCAAGACTTCAACTCTCCTTTCCCAGTAGTTCCTTGCTCTCCCTCCGACAAGTCACTCCCACCGGAACAAACTTCTCCGATCTGACCTCTCTAGCCACCGTCTCCACCGCCCAGCCTCCATAGCCACCGTTTCCGCCGCCCAGCCTCCATAGCCACCGCCCCCGGAGTCCATCCTGTCCTCAACCGTCCCTGCCTCCATCCACACCGCCTCCGGCCTCCACCTCCACAGCCTTCCCCTTCGGCACCTCTATGAAGCGACCTTCAACCACGCCGGCTTCCATGGCCGCCGCCCTGAGCCCCTGACCACCATACCCGCAGCTTCCGGTTTCACATCCACGGTTTCCACCTCCGCATCTTCAATTGGAACGACGTCCAACCACCCAACCTCCATAGCTGCCGCCGCCTCCAGCTCCATAGATCTATAGCTGCAGACAAATGAAGGGAAAGGGGAGATGGAGGAGTTTAAACGCAGAAGAGGGCGGACCAGGAAGAAAGAGAGAGAGAAAAAAAGGAGAAAAAAGAAGAAAGAGAAAAAGGGAAAAGCAAAAGAAAAAATTGAAAAACAATAAAATAATGTCTGTTAACCGGTTAACCGGTTGAATACCTGTTAAAAAAACAATTTGATCATTTTTTTATAGTACATGGACTTGATTGACTCGAAAAAAAGTAGGTGAACTCAATTGATTTTTTGTTAAAAGTACGTGGACTTATTTGACAGTTTTCCCTACTAATAATAAAAAACATTGTCGAAATTCTACACCGTAAACTTTTAGAGCATCTCCAATGGTTCCTCCCAAGGACTTGCTTGTAATTTTTTAAAATACTTAAGCTAGTAGCCTACTATTGGAGTGCATATTACTTTCTAGCTTGGGCAAGTAAATTAGCCAAAACAAGCTACATGCTAGAAAAGAGAGAAAATTGAGTTAAAATGGTAACTTCCAAATATATTTAATTTATTGATAATTAATATACTAATCTATTAAAACATCAATGGTAAAGTAGTTCAACGATGATGTTCCGAAGTGGTTTCAAATTTATTTGAGCAAATAATTTATTCCTTATTTTGTTACTTAACAAAATACATATTTTTGTACTGATTTTAATAATATGCATTTTCACCCTTGTCAGCTTAATGTTGGATGTTGGATTAAGGGGTTTTTACCTAGATATTACTAAATCAAAGACAATTCTAAAAAAAGTGAGCACATTAAAATTAGAACCAAAAAGTGACTAAGAAGGTCATATTCATGTCATTGACAGATTTTAATGTAACTATTCAATTTTAATGTCACTATCAAATGTCACTGTCGCCACCGTTGATGTCACTGCAGCCGCCAATGTCACTGAAACCGCCGCTATGTCACTTAGCTGCCGCCGGTGTCACTGTAGCCACCACCATGTCACTGTCACCACTTCTCGTGTCACTGTAACCGCCGCCCGTGTCACTGTAGGTGCCGCCCGTGTCACTGAAGCCGCCGCCCGTGTCACTGTAGACATCGCCTATCACACACCGCCGCCACTCCACCACTCCACCGGCAGCACCATCCCACCGCTGCTTCCATTTCCGCTAGACTTCCCTGCCTAATCCCCACGCTCCAGCACCCCAAAACCCGACTGCCGCCGGCACCGCCCAACACCTGCAACCTTCCCACAACCCCTCCCCACCATAGTCACAACCACCTGCACCCTTCGTCCGGCCACCACCACCGCCCAGTGACCAACACCACCGCCATACCCAACAATCACCGACCACCATTGTCGACCACCGCCCCACCCCAACATGACTTACCAGCCCCCAGCTCCTCTGAGCCCCAGCCACAGGCCCACAGCCCCTCTCCAGCCCGCCTACACTGCCCCAGCCCCTCGTAGCCCTCCTCCCAGCCTCGCGCCCCTGCCCCCAACTTCGACCAGCCGGCCCAGCTCTGACCAACCCAACCCTACCCCTGATTCACCTCTCCCCAGCCCAGCCCCAACCTTGCCCGCCACTCCCCAGCCCAGCCCCAACCTTGCCCGCCATTCCCCTTTCTCCAGCCCCAACCTCTGCCGCCAAGCTATCGTTAGCCTATTTCACGCAGGTGACACACAGCCTAACCCTAGCCGTATGAAATCGTCGATGGTGATCTAGATCTGACCGCCGTCGACGAACCCTAGATCCAGGTCACTTTAGCCGTCGTCACAGATCTGACGGTTTCCACCCATCATCCTCGGCCAGAGAATGGTGAACAAGTAGAGTACAAACCTGGAGTAGACGGTGGCGATAGCGGTGGCGCGGCATCGCTGCGACGAATACAAAGGCGGTGTGGATTGGCTGCGATGCGGTCGAATGTGAACAGCGATGAGGAATGATGGCGGAGACAAAGTCGTGAACGACGTTGTGGTCAGCGGCGGAGGCGGTGTGGATTGGGCGATGACGAAGTCTCACAGTCGACGGCGGTGGCAGCGTGGATTGGGCGGCGATGAACTCTGGAGTTGCGGAGCTAGATGGATTTTGAAGGGCTGCGAAGGTTCTGTTGAAAGAAGTGGACGGATCAGGCTTTTTATTTTATTTAAATGCTCACTTTTTTGTCAAAGTAAAAAACATTCATATTTTTGTCTAGCCAAACTTCACGGGTATTATTAGTGCCATACTGCCATTGTTTCCTTGGATTAATGTTTGGTCAAAGTCATAGTTGACAATCAACTTGATCAATTTGCCAGAAGTTTGGTTATGTTTTCTTGCCAACTTGATCGAATTGAAAGTATTTCAAAATAAATATTATTTTTATTATATTAACAATAAAATTCATTCAAAATGTATATTTTCAAAATTGATTGATCTGTGGGGTCTACTCAAGAGGCAAGTATTGTAGCTAACCATTGGACTACCACATTGCTGGAAAATGAATTAGCTAGAAAAATTGATGTGGCCGGCAAGCAAAGCTACAACGTGTTTAGCTAACCGCAGGGCCGGTTTTAGAAGTGTGTAGGCCCTAGGCCAAGTATCACACACACATATTCATAAAAACATTTAATTTTATGGACCTTTCTATACATCAGATATGATTTTTATAACACGCACTAAAGCCACATAAAATTACTAGTATAATATAAGACTAATTGTATATAAGCATAGATTTCAATGTTATTCAAATTGCACCATATATTTTGAGCGTGAAAATTATAAAGTTTTAAATGTAAACATATGCCAAACGTATCAATATTTGTACCTTTAATACACTATTCTTCTTTCTTTTTGAATTAGAAAATTACTAAGAACCTAATTACAATCAAGATTAACCACATCTTTCAATAGAGCTCGTTTGTGAAGAAACCTCAAATTAGAAAAATTCACAAATACAAATATTTGTGAAAATTACAAATAAAACCAAATAGCTAGTACAATCAAATTAGTTAAAAAATTATACTTGTATTACATAGTACAATAATTTTATTCAAGAGCAGCCCACTTTCCCTGCTAAAATTACTTTATATATAAAGTATTTAGGACTATGGAATTAAATTCTACAAAATATATTCAATTGTTTTAAGCCTCCCATTAATGTTCTTCAACGAACACAGGAATAATCAATATTAACCATTTAAGGCCCTAAACTATATATACACAATTCTAAGTCCTTAATTAACCCTTAAGAGATAAGCACTTAAGCTAGCGAAACTAGGAAACTACGTACATTCTTTCAAGTCTATGGAGATGGTTAGATGATTTGAGGAAATCTAGGAAGTTAGGGAATTAGAGTTTAAGAATTGAAGTCTACAAAAGTGAGTAAGCTTGAATGAGTGCATTGAGAAGGTAAAGTTTTCTTCTCCTCTGTGCTCGACGCTTGTAAATTAATACGGAGTATTACTAATATAAGGTACTAGTATAATTTATTTTGGGGCCCTTAAAAAATATGAGGCCCTAGGCAATTGCCTGGCCTTACTCCCCTCTTAGCTGGCTCTGGCTAACCGCCAAAGATGCTCTTAGTTACGGAGTTATCTCTTAAAATTATAATTAGCATAATATAAAAAACATTATAGTACAATAGTCTTTAGACTCTTTTTAGTAATTATAATTTTTTTGACAGAATAAATAACGATAAAGTATTCCCTAGTTATAACAGTTTGTCGACAAACTGTTGCATTTATTTTAAAAAGAAAATTAAAACTTAATTAGCTTTGAACAAAATTTTCATTTTGGAATTGAAAATGTTATTAGTGTTTTTTAATCATAATGTTATTGGTGTTTAAGAAACCATAATTTACGATTCATAACATCCACCATAAAAGGTACATTGAAAAATCTTGAAATTATTTTTAAAAAAGCAATTCCCGTTGAGAGCAATAATATAAATATATGTGATGTATCACCAATTTGTGAGTATTTATCATCTTCACGACTGATATCTCTACATTTTCGAAGGAAAAAAGTATACAAAAATAATCAATATGGGTGAATAAACCATGCCATAATTTCTTAATTCATTTAATCAAAACTACAAAGTAAAATTTAGATTTCCCAAAATAGGAGTAAATGGAGTTTAGAATTCCAAAATAGGACTACTATGTTTATATTGCAAAAATAGGACTAACATGTCAGTATTTACTGTCATCTTGTAGGCATGACTTACAAATATTTGCAATGAAGTGCATTTAACATGACAATATTTATTATAACTAATGGTAGTATTTTGGTATTTTTCAATCATAGCAATATTTTTCATATATGACAGTAACAACTCATATTTCGGCTAAAAATATAGTAGTCCAATTTTAGAATTTCAAACCTCATTTACTCCTATTTAGGAAAATTTCCCCTAAAATTTATGTATATTAAAGGGAAAACTGTCAAATAGGTCCTCGAACTTTCATAAAAAGGTCAATTAAGTCCTTCTATAGGAGGTTCTGTCCAGACGTCGCGATTTGAGGCAGTTCACGGTGGAATTTTTTGGTGAAAATTTTTGAACATCTTATTCACCAAGTCTAGTTTGCTCATACCAAATTTCAGCTAAAACTTCAATCGGGAACACATTCAAATTAATTCTTGAAGATAATTGCACATTTTTGCGTTCTCGAATTAATTTGAATGCGCTCCCGATTAAATTTTTAGATGAAATTTGGTATAAGTAAACTAGACTTGATAAATAAGATGCTCAAAAAATTTCATCAAAAAATTCCACCGGGAACCGCCCCAAATTGCGACGACCGTACAGAGTCTCCTATAGAAGGACTTAATTGACTTTTTTATGAAAGTTCGAGGACCTATTTGACAGTTTTCCCTATATTAAACCATCGATATATACTATACTCCACTATTTATGATTACGCGTCTATTTTGTTACTCCATGTGCATTTCTTAACCGGCCAAAATTTACATAGTTCTCTCCAAACAAATTGACCTAGCTGCAACACTATTTTAATTAGAGTAATTAGTGTAAAAAACGTTCAAAACTTGAGGGTTTCAAAGATGAAATCGATTCATCTTGTGCACACACTTGTCTTCTTCTCCTATCTGCACTTTCCCCACTTCTAAGCACTAATTAATTTCTTGTGCATCTGGGTTATGTAGTTCATGGTGTTGGGCCGCGGGTATGCGGTGCCAGCAACAGCCAGCCTGTCGGTGCAATCGAACCGCGTGGCGCTTCGCATGTGCTATAAAGGGGGAGGAGCGTGCTACACTATCAGCGATTGCTTTTAGTGTGATTCTTGCAATGATGGTTTTGTGTCTCTTGCTGATAATAAGAAATGCAAAATTCATGGGGTGGGTGATGTATGCTTGAAGGTTTGATAATGGGACTGTGTTTACTATGAAAAATGTGAGTCATGTTCCTGATTTGCGTCATAACTTGTTTTCTGTTGCTGCTTTTGAGGGTAGTGGGTTAGAGGGTAAATGGGGTAATGGGTGCATGAAAGTTTTGAAAAATTCCCTTGTTTTGTGTAAGGCAAAAAAGGTGAATAACTTGTATGTGTGCCATGCTCAGCCTTTCTGTGATTCTGCTCATGTTGTTAGTTCTGATAAATATGCTTTGTGGCATAGTAGATTAGGACACATGAGTAATAGGGGTTTAGAGATTTCCAGACCCGCTGCCGCCTGCCAGGGAGTTCTGCCGCCACATCCAGTCCGCTGCCGCCGAGTCTACAGCAGCCCACGCTGCCTACGGTAAGTCGGGTAACCCAACCTCGGGCCCCGCTCAGGTAAATTGGCGTTTAACATCCTTGGTGTACCGGAGTGCCACCAGATTTATTGTTTTCCCCCCGCTCCCCGCTGCCGACCTACGTGGTCTTGGATGCCGGCTGTGCCCGGCCCCAGGTACGTTTACTAATCCTTTATGTGATTTTTATTCGTAGTTCATTCATTTTAATTTCAAGTTAAATTGCTATTTGATTGTTAGTTGAATTGTGATTACTTGTTGGTTTGTGATTAATTTTCCGGTGAAGAATATTTTGTTTGGATACTCGTTGTCCAAAGTTGTGAATATTTCTTCCGGTTTAAATTTAATCACGTGTTGGATTTTTTATTTTTGATTTTTTCTGTTGATTGATTCGTGGATAAACTCTCCGGTTAAGAATATTTGTTTGGATACTTGTTGTCCGGAGTTGGGAATATTTTTGTCCGGATTAGTTTTAAATCCCGTTTCTTTACTTGTTGATTTAATTTTTTAGCCTATTTGTGCTTGTACGAAAGAACAAGGAGATTGTACCCGAGCTTTGTGTTCATTGGTCTTCTCGGCTTGTTCGTGCTAGTTGCTTCGTACAATTGATAGCCCTATAGGTTATAATTAATCATTTATCTGTCTGTTGAGTAAATAAGAATTTTATCTTGCTTGTACGAAAGAACAAGGAGATTGTACCCGAGCCTTGCGTTCATTGGTCTTCTCGGCTTGTTCGTGCTAGTTGCTTCGTACGATACGAAAGAACAAGGAGATTGTACCCGAGCTTTGTGTTCATTGGTCGTCTCGGCTTGTTCGTGCTAGTTGCTTCGTACTGTTCTTTGCTTGATAATTTTTATTTACTCTCTTGCGTGTTGTGCTGGCTTTCCGGTTAATATGGCTGTCAATCAATATGGCATGCTTCCATTTAACGGAAAGACAGATTTTGATATCTGGAAACAGAAAATCAAATGTGTGTTGATCCAACAGAAAGTCTATAGAGCAGTGACTGGTCTCTATTTAGACTCTGAGGATGCTGCTAAGCGCGATGAAATGAATGAAACTGCTTGTTCCTCTATATACCTGAACCTTTCTGATTCAGTACTCAGGAAGGTGGGTATTATAGATTCTGCAAAGGCTTTGTGGGACAAGTTAGATAAGACATATACCGATACTTCTTTGCCTGGTAAATTGTTTTTGCTTGAAAAATTCTTTAGATTTAGGCTTGACCTGTCTAAGGATATAGATGAGAACCTGGATGTGTTTAACAAGCTTATTCAGAATATTAAGCAAGCCGGTGATAAACACATAGATGACTACACACCCATAGTGTTACTTAATGCCATCCCTGACTCATACAATGACGTCAAATCTGCCATAAA